GTGTCAGATGGTGTACGAAAACTCTGCAAAGGTTCAATCGAGGAGAGTCAAATCACGTCTACGACAACATCAGTGGTGAAGAATCTTGGATATATACCTACGATCCTGATTCCAAACAATTATCTACAATCTGGGTCTTTCAAGACGAGTCTAAGCCGACTAAAGTTGTTCGTTCTCGAAGCACTTCAAAGAAGATGGTGGCCGCGTTCGTTGGAAAAACCGGTCATGTTGCGACTGTTACACTTGAAGATCGTAGAACGGTTAACGCAAAGACATTTCAAACATTTTCAAAATTAGGAAAAGTCTTCGTTGTCAAAGGTTCCAGTCCGGTGAAGAAGCAGTCGACGATTTCAAGTCAGCAATTTTGAACACCCCCCAACAAAGTATCCTAAGAGCTGGAATAGGAATAAAATGGTTGGAGATTATTGGCTGCGATTATTTAAGAAGCGATACCAATAAACAAGAATCGAAGACATAACAAGAAATTGAGGTTAGTAACTTTACTAGAATACAAAAAATGTAACTAGCCCGCCATTTGCATAATGCCTGCTAAATAAAAAATTAAGAGGCGGAATGGAAGAAAATGGATTTAATAGCAAGGATTATAATAATGAGCACAATTTTTGATAAACAATTAGAGTACATTTTGTGAATTTACAACAGCTTACGAAATGATGAAAATGTATGACAAAATGTATCTAACACAGTCTACCGCTATTCAAATAATATGTAGAGGAAAAATGGAAGAGATTAAATTAAATAATTACGATAAACTTGAAGATGTTCTGTTGATTTCGAGAAAACAACGAATGATTTCAAAGCGGCTGGGGGAAAGTTATACGACTGAAAAGATGAGCTATGATGAGTCCTAACCCCGAGTTATAGTTATATTGGAGACTTTATTGATGTAATTTCAGAAGAACAAAGGAACAGTAGATTACGCTAATCCAGTAGAGAATAAAAGTCTTTATGAAATATTTTTCCGATTGAAATTATATCAGACAATGCTAAAATTTTGTAAGCGCGGAGAAAGAATTCATTTCGTCACTTAGAATCGAAGTCAGGATATTATTGACTTTTCATCGAATACAATGTCAAAGGGCAAAGCCATGGGCAAAGGTATCAGGGTTGCAAAAACAAACCAGAGCGAGGTCGAACTTAGTGTAGGCCCACACTAAGCGACACACGACAGCTCGGCGACTAGACGAGACGTCTGGCTGCGGCCGGCAATTTCATATATGTTGTTCAAAGCTTCGCACCCTATATATATATACAAGGTGGGAAAATAATAGCTTATCGTCGCGAGTCCGCGACTCTGACGCCAAGGTCGATATAGATAATAGCTTAGGGCAGTCGCGCGCGCTCGCTACTTGCGCTGCGTCAAGTGGCGCTGTGAACGCGCACACACGACGATAGTCGTGCGACAGCTCTGCGTCAGTCTCACTGTGAGCGTCGAAGAAGGTGCACGTGTTGTTTTATTGAGAATCTCAATATGGATTATATGAAAAAAAAATTCTTGGTGCATTTTGAGTCCATCAAAAATCAGAGAAAACTGCCCAAGTTCTTGGCGAGAGGTGAGTATTGGATGGACCCAATAACGACGATCGATTCGTCGTACTATATACGTCTAAGCCTTCGCATTCGAAATATAAGCACCAAGGCAAGTGCAACTAGAGGCTCCATATTCACTCACAAGATGAACAACAGGGCCGTCTCTCTCGAATACTTCACTACTAATGATCACTTCCCGCGCAACGTCTATCTTACGATTAGTCGCCGATGCTAGCGACAGCTCCGCGTCTAGTCGCGGCGACAAGACGCCAAATGCAAATGACAACGTCGCGACGAGACGCAGTGAATAGACGGGGGCGACAAGTCGCCTAGTTTGCGATGGCCCTTAGAAGACTCGTTATTATCAAAAACGATAGTGTGCCTCCGTTACAATGGAACCGATGCCATCTCACGAGTGGGAGGCCTTCTCACAACTTCTGGCAACATACGAAGATCCATCTCTAAAATATGCCCTCTACTGTGAAACTGCCACAGGCATCACAGGACCGTTATGCTGATGCTGTTGAAACCTGATGCTTTCGTGGCCGGGTCCATATTGAGGCGCCATCTATCGGCGGCATTTAGTAACGTGCTAACGTGAACGAGACTGAAACCAATCAGTAGACCAGAAACAGCCAACTAGTTACGTGCTGCCTCCCTTCCATAAAATTATTGCACGTTTTACAATAGCGAATCCTCTAGATTAGAACTATTAATACCAAGCAATATTGTAAAGATCAGTAAAGACATGCAAAATTAAAATCGTTTAAATTATTTAAAAAACGTCTACCACTTAACAATCAGCGTGTAAAAAACATTTTCTAAGAAAATTTCAAATAAGTGATGGGTCTACCATCACTATATTGGTGTCTTTTGAAAGATGATGTCTCAATCTAAGGACAAACCTGGCACAACTAGTTGAAAGACATTTCCTACATAACAAAGCCATTATCATAGGCGTATATAGCCAGGGGGCCGGGTGGGCCGCGCCCATCCCAGGAGTTTGGATTACCCATTCGAAATTCAAAAACACGCCCAGTCTGCTGCACATCACCAAAGTAAGAAAATGCATTATACACATTTACATCAAGAATCAAACTTCCATGAATAAATCGTCAGCCAACATAAAAAGGAAGTTGAGCAAAATAACGAAAATGTACTAAAAATAATAGACATCAGTAATATATCTAGATGTCAAGGATTGCCTTTAAGGAGTCACCGTGAAACATCTGACCCAAAAAATAAGGGAAACTTTTTAGACATCAAGTTTTCGCTAAATGCAATGAAAATTTCCAGAAAAACAAGTAACCTATTGCATTGCTTGTATATAAAACGATTTAATCAATATAATCTGATTCATTATCACAATAGAACACATTGTAAATACAATGCAGATGAATCAAGATGTTATAAAGAAGAAAAAATATCGATAGTTTTGACACGTAGCAGGTTTAGAATTTGAAGAGTCGTTCATGGGATTTATGGATTGCTCCACTGGCAGAGAGGCAAAGATAATTTTAGATTTTTTAAACAAATGTGATTTGGATAATGTAATGTGCCATAATAGCGCAATAATAGGTAAGTAATAATGTAGTAGTAATAAGTAATAACAGGTAGGTAGTAATAAAGGTTTGTACGCGATTATCAAGGAGAAATGTAGTTCCCATGTTAGGTGGATTGGCGCAAAAGCTTAATTTGGCTCTTGTGAACTCATGTGCTAATATGTCAACAATAATCAAGTTTTTTTAATAATCTGGAAGCATTATGTATCCATTTTTCATACCATAAAGGTTGTCAACGCATCTGCAAACCCTCGGGTGTAGCAGTTGTCCATGGGCTGGTATTCACTTAACGTCAAGTGAACCGTCTGCTCGCTTGGCAACTTTTCACATAAAAAACAGTTAAGGAATACGTTACGTAGGAAAAAGTTTGTTTTTGCAGTGTTACTTTATAACAATAGTATTAATTAGTTAATTCTATCCTTATAAATGAATAAGCATGATTAGCGATACAAAACTGTGGTTTTTTAATGTTATAATTTTTTGTAGTGAGGGTCCAGGCCCACACTGAAAAATTACACTAGACACGCCAACGGGCATTATACACGAAAAAGTAATACTCACAGAAAATATTTAAGCCCAGGGCTAGCTATCCGTTAGATGTAAGATCTTTTTATAAAAAAATGTGAGATTGAAATGACTGAACCTAAGAAATTAAAGTATTACATTAAAATATTCAACACCAAGTTTAATTTCCAATTTATCCAACATAAGCAAGACTTGTGATGATTTCAAATTGGAAATACAAGATAATGATGAAAGCGGCAGTTTGAGCTCCAAAAACAACTTCATCAACTTAAAGCAGATTCAGCGAGAGAAAAACTTCAGAATGATTCGAAAAAGCTTGCTGAAGCACGCGTACTAACTTTTGCTCTGCAGATAGCTTTAGTCTCTCCAAAATTAACTACCTCAGTAGCATACTATAAAATAAATCTTTATTTATAAATACATTGCTTTAATTATAACCTAGGATACATGAATGTCTGGGACGAAGATGAAGAGGTTCTCAACATTATTTATTCCTAGTTTCCGAGTCCTGCACTGGACAAAATTGGATTATGAAGACAACACTTTTCCTTTGGAGCTTCTACAAGACACTGACACTAGTATTGACACCACAAAATACAAATTCTTGGCATGAGGGCACTCTTTTCTTCCCAATGATAGAGAATTTGGAATAGAGATCGCAAGTCACCGTCGTGGACAAACTTATAACACAGACCAATGGATTGACATTATCAACAGGCAAACCAAAAAAACTTTATTTTTTTGTTACCGAAATGAAAAATGTAGAATTTAAAGGTACGATTTTTCATAAAATCCTATTACAAACAGAAACGAGTAGCGGTTATTTTTTTAACCTTAATTGGCTTGCCCTTAACAATTTTTATTTAAAGAAACACTAAATTCCGACACAGCCTTTTATAAAGTAGATATACCTAAAAAAAAGAGCAAGGACTTCAGGCACTTATAAAATATTCAACAAGATCCACTCTATCCAACAAGAAGACCTGTCACTAACGCAAAGAAAAAAAGATATGCTTGAACTTCCGCCAATTTACCTCTACAAAAGTCTTCCTATTGATGTTCAACCCCTTCAAGCATATGTAACGAAAATGAGCGTTCATCTGATGACGAAATTACACATACAATTACAAATTTCCTTTTTATAATTTAAATATTATAAATTTTTAAACTGTTACTTTAAATTATTATATCTTTGATTTGCATTAAACAATAAAAAAAATGGAGACGTTTGATGAACTCTTACATTTATTTTTTCAAAGCACTCAAATGTTTAGCCTGCCAAGCCTATAAAATATAATATATTTAAATGAAAACCTTAGAAAAGATCCGTGCGGTAAGGGTTCACTAATGTATCTTAACCTAATATTTGTCGCACAGAGTCTCCAGCATTTTGAAGTAGCAATATTTTATGTCGAACTCCATGTCGTACCAATAGTTGACGGCGATGCATCCGTGGCTCTGCCTCACGTGGTGGAACCATAGACTGGGCAGATATAGACAATCGCCTTTTTTTAAACGCACTCTGTACTGATGGGCCTTGGCGAAAGTAGGGTGTTGCGATAAATTCGGTTTTAAGGGATCTGGAAATGGAATTTCAGGTTTAGCGGTGTAAACCTTTTCGTTTATTCAAATCTTGGCTGTACAGTTGTCTATGGTCTTGTTATGAATCCAACTTGCGAGTTATAAATGATAAAGTCGCGACTGTCTTCGTTATTACACGAATGGTCAGATAAGTCCAGGAAAGTACAACGGACTCAAATAATGTTGCAAACTGTTAGACGGTATAACCTGATATCACCGCCACCGCCCATAGACATAACACCATTGGGTACATTCTTTGATAGTAGGTATCTATCAACATAATAATTAAATCAATGCGTTTCGCTTAATGCACTTCTCAACTATCTACTACATTATCATTACGTTTTACTACCCATTTTTATCTAATTCTGCATATATTGGTAGTGAAAATATTGATAAAAATAAAATTGTTGCTTTTTCTTTTTTTTAATAATTTCCACTTCATACACTTTACAGCATTCATGGTGAGACAGACTAATCCTAACCTTAGCCAAATAAAGCCAAAAAACATTACCTATACATATCCAAGGTAGAGGCGACGGCGTCTCCATCTGCCGAGAGGTGAACACCTCTGAATCGCACTCCTTCACTACACCAAGTGGTTCCACGAGCCAAGAATCGCCAGCCCTCATAAACTGGGCTTGTGGGTACCGCTTGTACGGTACATAAGGCAAGTCGGTGGGCGGTATCAGAATGAAGTCTTTGTACCCGTCTATCACGCAATAGATGTTTTCGTAGGGGTCTTTGTGCACTGGAAAATTTTATAATCCATATTACTAAATTCTTAATCATCATCACTATCATCATGTTTTTACAACCAGCAGCTCCGATGAACCCTCCCTGGGAAACTATTCACTAAACTAAACTAAACATTCACTAAATTCTTAATTAAAATATAAAACTCTTGAATTTAATACACGTCCAATAAAAATAAGATCCATGTATTCAAGTAAACAGCTAATCTATTTACCGCATCCCATACATAAAATTTACTAGAAATGCAAATACAAACCCATGTTTGTTCCATGGGTTTGTATATGTTATATTGCCAACCTTAAAGAGATATATAGTAGATAATCTGATAGTTATACACCCGATTCCCTGATTCCTGTGATTCCTGATACAATAAACATGTGCTATACTTTCATAAGAAAACTCATTTTTGTGATAGAAAGAGCATGGCTTTTCATTGCATTTTCATTTAGTATTTTTTTTATATGAATAGTATCTTTTGCAAATAATAGCTTTTGTTTCTATTTGATATGAACAATACTTCACAATTCTATATGGTTTGTAAGTCAAGTGAGGTTCTGAAATATTTAAATATTTGTATTCACTCACTGGATGTAACTGCTCGCTCATCACCCATCCAGAAATTTACAGCATCTGGCTTCTTGTTAAATGCGACAGTAGCGAATGATATGTCAGACATGACATCTTGTAGAAGTTCAGGAAAATCTTCAGTTAGATTAGAATTCTGGCGCTGAATATATGGTATAATATGATCTCTGTAATCAATGGCATAATCAAATAACACATACATCATATGCAATGATTATGTCATATATACATATAACTTGGTTATTAATTTTATATCAGACCCATGAAACCTAACTGCTTTCATCAAAGAAAGACAATTTCATGGGAAACTAAAAATAACTGGTAGGACCACACAACAGTCTTCACTGTTGCACGAATGGGCAGATCTGTCCAGATAAGTAATACAATCTCACAGAAAACGGGTTTGAAGTGGAAGTGTTGTACTTCTGCATTTCATCTGGTAAAAAATAAGGATATCAGAATATCAGTCACCCTATTGCTAAGCTACTTAAATTTAAATATTACCTTTTATTCTCCAGCATAGCCAGAAACTCCCCCATAGTCATCTCTACTTCGTAAGGTGTCACAAAGAACTCCACTCCCTGTTCATCCTTTGTAATGCCATCAGCTAAACCATTTGGTGTCATGGCTACTGTAACCATTTTGTTTGAGAAATTTTCCCTAAAATGATGGTTTTTAACAAATGAACAACCAATATTTACAAAAACTATGCATGCAAAACTTATTACATTACATTTTAACAATACTTTCTGTCTATATTATACTTTCTATTCTTATAATAAATAAATGTAAAAATCTTAAAATGAAATTATATTGAAAAACTTTCAAGAACTTTCAAGGTACATGTGCAAACTTTGAAACTTTGAAATTATGAACCAATATAAATTTACTAAAAAAAATATATATTTCGTTATAATCCTTCTATCATACGACACAGGCTGAGCATAAGGGGAGATATATTTAGCATACCATTATGATTACCGAAAATAATTTAGATTCCATTTTAATGTAGCTGGCCAGTTAGCGCAACCTCTTTTTAGAACAACAGGAATATTTTTCGCCACATATTCCCTGTGAAATTGTAACGGCTCCAGGAAATCAATTTCGGGAATAGAACCCCCCAGGTAGAGCTCTAAAAACAACAATATTATTTCGTGACAAAATTAATTACTAATTAAAATTGAAATCACATTAATTAAGCCTTACCGAATGTTTCCTCATTAAGGACTTTAAAGGCTTTTATAACTCTATCAGCCATATTTAGGTTATGTTATTTTTTATTCACACATCCTAATCTAATATCTTATCATGAATGTCACGAATTCAAAAGACAAATTGATTACGGGACCGATTACCGCCGGCCGGAGCTATTATTATAACTTTCAAAATTCAAATGAAATTGACTAGGTACATCACATCTACCCACAGAACACTTTTACTCATCTACCTATTTCTTCTTCTAACTTCTAAGGTCCTTGATATCGCTAAACTCATCTACCTATTTTGTATTTTGTAAAAAAAACACTAAATGCACTAAAAACCTCAGATATATAAAAGTAAAAGTACTCTTTGCTTGACATTTATGTTGTCGCTGGCAACATTATACACCGGTTATGACGTCATCAATACGAGCGATGAGGCACCTGGTCGAATGGAGCAGCGCTCACGGATCACTTTCATTTCGGCGCTGTTCCTGGACGGTCACATAATTACTAGCGTTGCTATTTAATTGTAATTTGTACATATAGTCCAGAGTTACTTAAAAATACAGATTGAGAGCAAAAACGTTGTTTCACTTATATTTTATTTGACAGTTTGACTTAACGTTGCTGCAACATGACTAAAAAAAAACTTATTACATTGTGTCTATCTCAATTCTCATCATTCATCGAAATATCACTAAAAAGCACGTCTAAAAATGAGAAATAATTACATGTTTGTTTTTTTTTGCTGCGTCGTAATGAAGTCATCCGCTAACTAAACATAACAAGGATTACTAGATGTCTGCTTTACCACGATAAATAGTGTTACTTTGATGAGATAATTCTTATTTAACGAAACGAGAATGTATAATACTTCCACTTCACGTTGATATTCTACGAGGCCCTGGTCTTTTGCGTGGCCTTACCACAGTCTAAATGTATCAATCAATGAAATAAATCACTTCGCCTCAGATACCTAAAAGTTTTAATAGTAGATTACATAACGAGCTAACAGTCGTATGCACTCTTGTTATTAAATAACAATAAGAACACGGTAAAGTAAGCCTTTGTCGTGGTCTTATTAAGAAATTCAAAAACCGGTCATGCGAGTCGAACTTGTACACCGAGGGCTCCATATCTACTCATTTTATAATAAAATTGGAAATAATCACCACCGATTTTCTCAAAAACTGGTGGTACTAGCAAGTTGAAATTTATACAAGATATCGCCAAACTTCGTGATTCTAGGTCAACGGGAACCTATTTTTTTTTTTCATTTAAGTACAGTTTACACAAAAATTACATATTATCTAATAAACCTAATCCACGCGGCATGGTGCCAAGAGCGCTAACTGCACTTCCTCGCTGAATAGTTATGCTTAACCTTTGAACGAGAAAAGAACCATACACATACTTTAACCTATTTTTCTTTTGTAAATAAACACATATAAAACGGGAACGATCATATAGATTTTCTAACCCAAAACCTATAGTGTACCTCGGGTTGACTTAAGGTGAATTGTCTTGTATTAAACCTTGTCAATTTTGGATAAAAGCATAGTCTCACGGCACAAGTTAAGAGAAAATTCCGAAAAAGTTCAAAATTAAGGCAAATTTTGGTTCTTACAAGTTTTCGCGAAAATCTCAATTTGCCAATCTTTTTATATTGTTGACTCAGGACCCTGATTTTTATTCATTTAAAAGGGACTATAAACCTCAGTATCTGGTATAAATACCACCCGTTCCTGAGGAAATCGCGATGACACACGGACAAAGAGACGGACGAGAGAGTGATCTTAAAAGGGTTCCTTTATTACATTTTAAGGTACGGAACCCTATAAATCACCTGGTGTAAAGGGATATCGTGTGTAGGCTGCGAAGAATAATACGAATAATCTTTTTTTTTTTGTTCGCGTTACCGGCCCTTGAGGCAAGAATAGGCTCTTTTCTTGAACGTTCTAAGTCATTGTGGCTCTGAATTACCTCTCGCATTAACTAATTCTACAAACATATGGTGACAATTCGTTAAATCATTCACTGTAGCATGGCGGTTTCTCATGTTTAATTTGGTGTAACTGAACTTTTGGTGTAATTGCACTAATCTTACTACTCTCAGTACTAAACTTAATAACTGGTATTAATGTAGACAACTCCTCTGAGCACTTATCGTGAACAAAACTTGGTAGAAAATCATAGTTCTCAAATTTTAACAAAATATGCCTAAATAACTGCAGATATACTCTACGTAAATCATACACTAGACCAAACACTCGAAAAATAATAATTTAATTTCTCAAAATAAAACATTTCATATATAAACCCTATATATATTTCATGGGCATTGGTTTCTTCAAGATTCCTTTTACAGGCGCCCCAGAAGCAAGATGTTGCTGCGATTGATAGACATTAGCCGACGCTTCTGGCTTTGAGATGGTGTTTTCCCGGATCGCTGTAGTTTTTGCTTGGAAAGACCGCGGTATAAAACCGTACGTTGAATCTATGATTGTAACTGTAAAAATAAACGGAGCAATAAACACTTTATACTTTATGAATCTTTCTTACTAGCTTAATAATTTAAAGCGTCTGCAAACCAATTCAACCGACGGAAAGTGTCTAGGAGGATTGACAACTTATTTTTAACGATATAGTTTAAAATATGCTTAAAATATAGCTTGGAGAATTTACGTGAGGTAAGTAATGGTTTTATGTTACTTGATTTTAGAAATTGGCCGTCTGACCAAGCTAGCAGGTAAGATTTGATCTTAGTACATACTAACACTACTCAATCGTATACATTTCGTTCGTCAGAAAATAAGTGACGTCTGGTCTAGCCCTGGGATCTTGCTCTATTATCTGTGGGGTCGCACAAAAACTTGTCCCGTTTAGGAATGAAAGCAACAACTACCGGTGCTAAAGCCAATAGCTTTGCAACTGCGCTAGCGAGACATTACTGCACCAGCGAGTCTAATTAATATAATAAACGTTATTGTTTCAACACGTTCTGTTTTTAGCGGGAATAGGCGACAAACAAGCGAGCGGTTCGCCTGATATTTGGTTAATACCGCCTCTCATGAACATACGGAACCTATGAGGTTGCAGTTGCATTGCTAATCTTTAAGAGTGGCAGACCTCCATTACCTTACATCAATCTTATTCTTAAACGACGAAAGAAGACTAAATAAATATATAGAAACGACCAACATTACATTTGGAGTGTGGTTTCGTTTGCTCCCCAATAGATATTGCACTTCGCGTCATAGGTCCGCCCATGTTCAGTTCGAAAAAGTCCTCGATGCCCTGTTTAGACATGCTCAATTTGTGACGCTCATTCATTTGGCGAAGTCGTACCGCCTTGTCGAAGCCTTGCAGGAATACCCTCGAGGTGTTGTGTATCGGAACTGTATCGAGGACACCTAAAGCGGGAGTCAATTGTAAGTTCCCAATTCCTTTTCGTTAAAAAAATAATGTTATCATTTCTGATTATTACAACATTGTTTTGTAGCCCAGGGATGGCCAGCTTTTAACATTCATTAGATTTACATCAGAAAGCTCTGCCTTTTATGTACTCTGATAGGTAGAGGATACTTACCCGGACGGATCTGCCCATTGATGCACCAGTGCAAAAGTGTTTCGTGGCCCTACCATAGCTAAAAATATATAGATGATTAGAATACAAACCCATAATATGAGCTGAAATAACATAATTTTAACGAAAAAGTTGAGTATGACGTACAATGATATAACTCGTTCCAGGCATGGATGGATTACAAAAATAGACAAATGCGTTAGTAAATCTGTATCTTTACAAAACCACATTAATATAAAAAAATATCGAAGATGTAAAACAATAAAAAAAACTTCAGCCATAAAGTACACTCACGTAATTGTGAACATCTTGCGATTATTATTTCTTTGTATCTATGTTTCTTCGTCATAGGGTTGTCAGTAAAATTAACGTCCACCAAACAGACCAGAGTACAGAGTTCGTCAGCTACGGCCTGAACATGAGAGCAGAGATTTTTATTTATTCTAAAATTCTTTTGTGTTACTAAACTACTGGAGGAATTATGAATATTCTTTCAGCGTAATGTCCAAAAGGTTTTTGTCCAAAATCCAAATATACGTTAACCAGATAATGAGCTAAGAGACAAAAAACGTTGAAGATTTTTCGTATAAGCCATTAAATCATATATGGCAAAGTCAATAACATAACGAGAAAATAATTTTTGTGCAGACTTTGAAAAAAGTAATCCTAGTTTTTTTTGTTATTTTATCATGAATAAATAACAAACCTAATATAAATTTATTTTAATATTGATAAATGAAAGTATCATTGACATTATGAAATCATTTTTCATTATTAACTTTCCCTATTTGCATTCAAAGGGAATGGAATATAATTGTTTTTTAAAACTTATTCTCGATTAATTTTCTCGATAGAAAAAAAATCAGGAAATCACCTTTAGAAGTTTTTTTTTTATGTGAAAAGTTGTCAAACGAGCAGATGGTTCACCTGATGTTAAGTGAATACCGCCAACCATGGACGTCTGCTACACCCGAGGGTTCCAGATGCGTTGACAACCTTTTGAAAATTGGGCTCCGGCTACCTCACTCACCAGATGAAACGCGAAAGTATTTGTCATACTTCCACTTTACGCTGGTCTTCTGTGAGGTCGTGGTACTTACCCGGTCGGGCCTGCCCATTCGTGCAACAACCGAGGCTGCTGCGTGGCCCTACCACCGTAAGTGAAATTCAAATTCAAAAATAAACATAATAAATCAAAAAATCTTAATGAAATTAGTATCAGTGGTGTAGAATATTTTAATAGGTAACTGGGACTGTTGTCTTAATTTGTTGATTGAAGGTAGACATTTGTAAATATTAATTTAATTTGTTAAAATTAACTCGAACGCGACGACCAAAACACAGCACCACTGCGGCGTTGTTTCGGTTCTCTTCCATTTCCACACGTTGAACAGACAGTTGAGAATCATCTTCCGCTCAACGTTACGAAATATGTTCCGTATTTATTTATTATTGAGAGTTATAATTTAATTAGATCTTACGAAAACACGAAACTGAAAATTATATTCACATATTTCGTATTTATAAATTATTTATATTTAAAACATATCAACTAATGCTTCATTCAACGTTTTATCTTATGATTGACATTGGTATACAACTCATGCCCATAGTCGTTGGCAAAAAAGAAGTTGGTTGAGTAACATTTGGGCTGGGATAGCTAGCGTAGCGGAGCTGTTCTACGAAGCTAAAAAGAAGGTAGTCTTTAACGAGCTGATAGCCAACTTTCACTAGTTAGAGAGGCAACATAAGAAAAAGTAATTCAGAAAATCAACACTTTGTGTGGATTATTGGTTCTATCAGTTACGTCCCAAATATTTTTCATACTTGATCATTCATTTTGAGATTTTGTTCGACAAATCTTAATCTCTGTCGTCTAATGATGAATGACAAAAATACCTGTACATCGTCCAACTTGTTCTTCGCGGCAATAAGGACTTCCAAGCGACGTAAAGGCTTTATCCATGTGATATCCGTCAACTTGTTCTCCGATATATTCAAAACTCTTAGAGTCGCCTGAAATTATATATGAACTGGGTATAGTTCAGTCATAATTCAAAAACCAATATTATTTGCAATATGGAATAGCAACAGCTCCTGCTGCAAAAATAGGCTAGTTCAAACACGGACACATTGTGGTAACTATTGTAGGACCACACAACTGTCTTTGCTGTTACACGAACAGGCAGGTCCGTCGGGGAAAGTACCACGTTTACCAAAAGACCGATATGATGCGGGAGAGATATACTTCTGCGTTTCCTCCGGTGAGTGAGGTGGCCGGGGCCCACTTTATTAAAAGGTGACAACGCATCAAATGCAAAATACGGGCGTTGCAATGCTCCATGGGCGGCGGTTATGACTTAACATCAGGTGCACCTCCAGCTCGCTTGCTATCTTCTTACATAAAAAAACAAAAGATTGGCGTGAAGTAAAAGTACTAATTTTAGTTTCGTTCGCAAACTGCGACAACCAGATTTTGCTAGCATTACTTTCTTAGATACATCAGAATCCACGATGATCTTCTGTGAAGCCGTGGTATTTACTCAGACGAATCCTTTTTGGAGGAGTCTATTTGTTAATATAGTATTTTGTTGATTTTTAAACGTAAACGTTTAAAAATTGTACTTACAATTGTTAGAATTGCAAAAATAACCGTCATGAAATTAAGTTCAGTTTTCAGGACAAAATACAAAATGGACGGCTTTGCAGTTGCTTATTGCGATAGTGCCGATTATAAAATAAGACTTAATTATTTTTTTATCTTCTTTCTGGCATAGACAACACTTTCAATAACGGTTTTTTATGTGTGGACTGCCCACAGCAAACATTGTGCAACGGCAAAACTGCACCAAAACAAAATTAAATACGAATATGTATTATTTTAAAATTTTGTTGTTCGTCTTAATCTGTATTCTTAAAGTGCTTACAATTGGACTGTTCATTATTCTAATTGGTCGAATGTGTACTTGAAATATATAAAAAGCATAATCAAACCTACATAAAAACACTTACGCCAATAGATAAAACAGTCCGTGGATCAAAACATAATGCGTCCGTTCCCTCTAAGTTCTGTTTCTCAATGTGCAACTCCTCCAAATATTTCAACATCGTCAGATTTTCTACGACACTGATACAATTGTTATTAAGATATAATTTCTTGAGCTTCGTCAGTTTGTCCAAGCCTTCGAGTTTTGTTATTTTGTTCCATTGCAGATGCAGATGCGTCAAATTGTACATTTCGTCTAGATTTTCTATTCTATTTATGTAATTGTTGTGATAATAGGCGTAAATTATGTGTGATGGTTTTTTTGGTTTGGGCTGTTGAATGTCGATATCTTATTGAAATCACTTTCTTCATTTACAATAAATCATTATTACGTAATCATGACTATATGTAAATTTTATAAAAATACTAATACTGGAAACCCTAATATCTTTGCGTGTATTAATTTCTTTCTTGTAGAAAGTAACTTACAATTTCAACATCAGTGCCAATAATATAATAATTCAAAATATGTAAAATAGTATAGAATATCATTGAATACTGCATAATAAAAAGTCACAGATTTTAAGCATGAACTTATGACTTTTTGCTAGCAGTTTTTGAGATTAAACCAAATAATTTAACACCTTTGGTGCGATTATCAACTATATGATGAACTAAATTATAACTTACAATTGAAGTAAGACATTTTTCAAACATGAACAAATGTGTCGGTCTTTTAGTTACATGTAATTTCTTTTTATTTTTAACCTTCTTTGCCTCTATGCGTAATTTTACCTCATTTTGCTTCAATTCATTTAATTTATCGATCTTATTCATGCCGTTTTTTAAATGTTAAAATCTTTATTCTGCCACAAAATATTTTTGTTACTTAGATAGATCAATAAAATTCAAAAAGTAGCGCTCTCCATGGAGATCATAGATAAAACATATATATACTGAAATGGATGGAGATAGTGCTGGGTCAACTTGTAATTTTCTTTTATTTTCATATGTGCAAAGGCTACAACAAAATATTAGTAGAGTAATTAAAAGATAAATTCATGGCCTAAGCTTACTTATTTCTCTTCCCCTTATCCCAACTAAGAAATAGCGGGATCACATGTTAACCAGGTTGTTAATGGTGTTGGTAGAGAGAGAGGTGGTAGGTATGTGTAAGTAATGCCTATGATATCACTCGAGTTATATTACTTAGCAATGTTATATGTCTTAACCTATTACGTGAGTATGGCGAGCATCATTATTTATGATGCATTACTTCGCGTTCCGCGATCGCCGAATGTAAAAAGAATGTCATGCTTGAGCGAGCGAGATGATCGTGCGCCATGGAATCAAGATCATCACATTGCGCGCCTGTACTCTATGTGGATCAAATTTTAGTTATATTGCTTCTTTACTTTAATTAAATTACTTTTTTAAGCACTGTATTGCACATCTCTTGCGGTGTTTGGCTAAGTTTTTATTAACGACCGCGTGCCTGCTGAAACCGGCCTTGGGAATAAAAACCCAGATCCGGAACAAATATCTCTGTGGGTCCCACGGACACTTGTCCTATGTAGGAATTGAACCCAGGCACGGCTTAGCCACTGTACCATAGAGTCAGTGACCTAGGCTTAACTTTTTTTTAATGGCAGAGATAACTGGGTGTTTTTTTTTTTCTAATTTCGGTGTTATCTATAATTTGATGTCACATTGAAAAATTCAATGACAAAATAATGTTACTCATATACCCTAAACCTTATAATACCGCATTACTTTGCATAAATATAGTCTAGTCAGATGTTTTTAAAAAAAGTAATAATAACTCAGTTTCAGTTCATTGGCCTAAAGGACGCGATTCCAGGGCGATTAAACAAAAAAAATAACAAAAAATAATGAAACTTCAAGTTTGTTTGTTTCATTTGTTTTTCATTTTCCAAAGAGTACTTTTAGATATTATTTGAAATTGTCATTTTATCATTTTCAATTCAACTCACAGAGTACTTTTGTATATAGGGAAGGGTAGGGGGGTTGATTCAACTCAACTCAAAGTAAAAGTAGCAATTTAAAATAATCTAATCCTGAAACTAATTGACTACATTTATATACGAAGTAAGTATTATTAAAAATACACTATACGAATATGTTATTTATATCGTTATGTTTTATTATAATTATGGTTTATCAATTTTTAGCAAAATGGGTGAGCGGTACAACATTCACAGCCAGTTAGAACATCTTCAGAGTAAATACATCGGTACTGGACACGCTGATACAACCAAATATGAGTGGTTGACGAATCAGCATAGAGACTCCTGCTGCAGTTACATGGGCCACCCTGACTTGTTGAGTTACTTTGCGATTGTTGAGAATGAATCCAAGGCACGAGTTAAGTTTAACCTTATGGAAAGAATGTTACAACCTTGTGGGCCACCTCCTGAAAAACCTGAAGATTAAAGGGCATAATTAATTTTTTGAATCATATAAAATGTAAGATTTAAGCTGCAATAAAAACACAAATGAAGAACAATTTCAATCATAACACTTACAACATAGTGTAAAATTCAATCATAATGTAAAATCTTAATCATGGTTGTCATCAAATTGGCCAATAGGCATTAGAATGAAGATGTTGAAGATTAATTTTAATAGATACTGCAGTGACATCCTTAAACAGTTGTACTAAAATCTTTTTCACATGGGTGTTAATAGTCAACTATAAGGAATAACATGACTACTCAAAGCTTTTTTAGTAATTATCTAACCATTATCTAATAAAAACGGCAAAAAAATGTTGTATGAGCTCCATTTCAATATTTTTTTATTTTATGGTTTAGTATTTGTTGTTATAAGAGCAACAGAAATACATCATCTGTGAAATTTCAAAAAATTTCCAAAATCGGACCCGGACCAATCAAACACTCTCGAGTTTTAATTTTAGTATAGATATCCCTTTATTTTTATCCGACTCATTACTACTAGAATACTTTCTAGTGCGGTTCAGGTTGATATCGACATATCGATTTCTCTGATTCATTCTCTGTTTAGCAGATCCAGGGGCGAATCGAACTTAAGAAAGTTGGCTTCAAGGTACAAAAAAAATTGTAAACATGTGTTTTGGCAAAGTTAAAGAATTTTAATCTACCCAGTGCTAGTGGGTAGTTTTACACATGATGGTACGGAACGCTTCATTGGCCGGGTTTTTTTAACTTGAAGTAACCTAGTTTCATACAATTCAATTATAGCTATTATATATCATTTTATTGCACAAATCTTCAATGTTTTTATATATGAGCTGATTTAAATAAAACTAATGACCGATGGGGAGTAAAGGTTCTCGAGTAGCGACCACGAACCGAAAGACGTAGCGTTGGAAGGCCTCCCTCTAGATGGACCGACGACATGATATTTGAAAATTAAAGCAACTGGTGGATGCAAATGGCAGTGTCGTTCGTTGTGGCGTTCTAAGTGGGAGGCCTATGTTCAACAGTGGTGGTGGTCTTGATATACCTTAAACTAACACTAAAAGTTAAGTGAAGTTTGCTACTATTAGTGAAAGTTGCACCAAAATCGGTTAAGCCGATTCTGAGCTTAATGCGCACAAACGCACAGACCGACAGACGAAAACTTTAACTACCATTGTTTTGTAGGCCCCCAATAATAGTTTTTATTATTGTGATAAGCTTTTATTTAGTTTCACCTGTGCAAGATTTGATGACAAACATCTGAATGTTTGTCATCAAATTTGATCCACTTCCCGGTTACTGATTGAGCTGAAATTTTGCATACATGTGGAAATCGCGTGACAATGCAATATTGATAATGACATGGTGCTGATCTGATGATAGAGTTAGAAGGTGACCAAAAGAACTTCGCAATGAAATGACGATGAATCGTCTTGACGAGTACTTTGTCTTTCAATAGTAACCAGGGTATGTTGATGGAGCTGGAAGGTGGTCATAGGAACTCAGTAAAGAAACGACGCAACCCCATCGAATCTAGGCTCGTTTGATGCCTTTTGTCGAGTACTTTGGTGCTAGATCATAGATGGTAACGAGGGCCTGATATCTGTAAGGTGGTCATAGGAAGTCAGTAATTATTTTTATTATTAGCGACACAACAGATCTATACAGATAAATAAAATTGGAGTGTTGTTAATATTAAAATAACCGCTTTTTACTAAATGCATATGGATGTAACCAACTTGCAGTATTAATATGTATTTCCCTTTTATAAATCTATGATTATATTTTTTTTATGTGACAAAGTGGCAAACGAGCTGGCTGTTTATCTGATGTTAAATGATAACCGCCGCCCATGGACATTTACAATACCCGTAGGGTTGCTGATGCGTTTGCGCCTTTTAATAAAGTCAACAAGTGTAACAAGTGTAAAAATTCTACTTCACGCCGGTTTTAAGTGAGATCGTGGTACTAGCCTGGACGAACATGCCGATTGGTGCAACAGCCAACACTGTTTCGTAGTCCTACCACAGTTACAATATTACCTTGTTATGTATTATGTTGTGAATGGAAAAACCAAACATTTGATTGTTTTACAAGTTTGATGGGGATGTTGTGAATTACTATTTCTTGATTGGATTTGATAAAAAGAGAAAACATTTTTTCCGGCTTATGGAAATAATATTAGAATACCAAGATATTCAAACAACACTTTTAAATAACTTGGCATAGCAAGATAATTTATTTTAATTATGAATGTTTTTAAAAATTTTGAAACAAAATGTCCCAAACATTTTATTACTTTTACTTTAAGTATATAGTAATAATTGGCATTTATTACCAATATAAAAAATATATTTATCAACAAGGAAATAACATAACAAATAAATGTTGTTAGGTATCATTTATATTTAATAAAGTTTTCCATTCTTCTAGTTTAGCATTCAATGCTGTTTCTCTTTCTTTAGCCTCTGTTTCTAGTTTCTTTTGTTGTTCTATATTTTTTACTACATTCATAACAAGCACTTGCTGAATGTTTGGAATTAATTTGCCACATTCTTCTTCAAGTGTGTCCATCGCTTTTATTACACATTCCATGTCCATTGACCCTATTTGTATGAAATCGGACACTTGTTTTAACTCTGAGAGCATGGACATAGTAATTACACCATGGTTTATATTCTCCTTTTCCGAACTTGTTATTGCTAAATGTTCTTCCTCTTCTGTTGGATCAACAAACATTTTATCACCTATTATAGCAATAGTACATGCAGTAATTATATCATACATGGGAACAGCAGCATCAGCTAACGCTAAACCAGCAGCATTTATTGCTGCCGCAAGGCATGCCCCATCATTTTCAATAATATATACAAAAACATCAATCTGAAATAAGAATTAAAGATTTATTATTTATGCTTTTATAAACTTTGGATAAAAAAGTCTCCATAAGATTTAACCAGTAGTAAATAATATGCTACTCCAATTTCTTTATTTGATATGGCATTATTAGAGTATTAAACATAGAAAAGTACCTGATAATTTGGGAAAAGATGTCTGCAGACTGTTGGCTCTAACGCTTGTCTCAATGCTACGGATAGAGATTTATCTTCAGCATCGGGAGCAGGTGGGCGACGTTGGCGAGAACAGGAAAATGGCGCGAATTTAACCTCGCAAAATATTTGTCCTAGTTGACTGAAATAAGAAAAGATAAGGAAGAGGAAATTTATAAGAAAAGATAAAAAAACTTCTATTAGCATACCTGAACTCATTCTGGTGTGGTATTTCTCTGGGATCGAAAACTGAACATACCACTTTAGTTTTCTTTAATTCGACATACGCTGAGCCTTTTGCTTGAGAAACCATGTCAGTTCTAGCAACTAGAGAAAATACATGTTAAAAATAATTCCGTTCTTATTTGTTACGGACTTTGTAAAATAAAACACATACAAAACATACACATGCTTCGCGCCTCATCCATTGCGCGCCCATCTTTTCGTAAGTTATTTTCATCGATTAATTCACTATAAAGTTCATCATAGGATTTTAAAAAATCATGTGTAAAACGTTTATATGACACGCTATCTTCTGGGCCGTTAAATCTTCGATAATCAAGAGGCATTTTCTGATGTTATTAGAGCTCTAATCCAAAAGAGTTCGCGTTCACTCACAATCACAACACGTTCATTATTCGTTGAATGACATTGAAATTGAATTAGGGATGAGGCGTATATACTGGAACAGGTATAAATACCCAGTATGAACATGCCAGTACGCACACCGGGTATGTACGGCAGGGCCCGTTCCATACCCGATAGGTATGGCTGGGTATGGCCGCCTCGTCCGACGGTGGCGGTATATAACGCTCGCGACAACCCGCCCGCATACCGGGTATGACGTATGTACGGCAGAGGCCCGTTCCATACCCGCACCGATAGATATGGCTATGGCCGCCTCGTCCGACGGTGGCGGTATATACGCTCGCGACAACCCGCCGGCCGAATAGGTACGAAGTTCCCCGAACGCTTACGGCGGCTCTTTCCGATCATGCCCGAATTGAAACGTATGATTTAGGCATTTTATACCAAATATTTCCTTCAGATAAATTTATTCTTTATTTCAATGACAATTAGGTAGATAAATAATTGCGTAATAAGATTAAACAGTAATGACGTGGTAAGATCTTGACTATTAAATCTCATTATTATACGCGATACCCGTACCTTTGTAGGCCGGGTATATAGAATGTTGCAGGTATATCTCATGCCTAGATTGATGATCAATGATTCAATACCCTCAATGAATGCTATTGAACATGTCAAAATATTTTGAATTACTTTTTTTTTTATAATAGGGTTCTTTACGTTGGTAAAGATGGAGCTTAATTTAGACTAATTAAATCTCAATAAAAAAAAAATTTATTAGTTATGTTCAGGCCTCCATTAGGAGGCCTGAACATAACTAATACCTATAGGTATTTTGATACTGGGTTTTAGCAACGGGTATACGGCGATACCCGTACCTTTGAGGCCGGGTATAGAATGTTGCAGGTATATCTCATGCCTAGATTGAATGATCAATGATTCAATATCAATGAATGCTATTGGGAAGTGTATTCTTTAGTGTGATGCCACTACTGTTCCATGGTCGGTAACGAATGCTATTGAACATGTCAAATGGCAATGGCATCATATGTCTAATTGACATTTTTTACGGTAAAAATGACAAAAGATTGAAACTTACGTAGTAGTTCAAGTAAAGTGCAGTGGCTCGAATTGTAATTCTGTTCCGATTTTAAAATCCATAACTTTAGCTAAACTCTAGTAAGTTAAGTGTTACATATATCTGCATTAGTGTTAAAGAACCACTTATCTCATTGTGTAATAATCATTAGTGAAAAGTTATTAGTTTAAGTGTATTGATAAAATTTAAAGAAAACAATTATAAACAATAGTGCAATCGTGGTCTCGTTCAACATTTGCCGACAGAAACGACGCGTATTTCACGGCGCTTAGAACCTATCATCCACATCCTCCGCTTGGCGCAAACGGCCGGTTGAAATTTATTGCTTTGAAAGTTACTAATCTACCTCACAATGGTACCGAACTACGGAAAATGTGCAAAATGTTATAATGTTTTGCAAAATAAAGAATATTTAACGTGCACCGTATGCAAAAATAAGTATGACATTACCTGTGCTAAGATTTCCTCTAAGCGTTTTAACGCATTTTACTCTGCTGGTTCGGATCGGATTAACAACTGGCATTGCTCTTCTGAATGCTCTAAAAATCAACATAAATCGTGTACGACCGCTCACTCCCAGCCTCCATCTGCATCAACTGAGATATCTGCTGTAAGTCCTGCTTCAGATGGAACTGGTAGCAGCGGTGATTCAAAAATTACGAAAAGAACCGGGCGCACTCAAAACTATCAAGTTAATGTTGGTGACGAAATATCACCTATCACTTTACAAGGATCTACACCAAACACTGATCGCGTATTCAACATTACCGAGGACCTGATAAGAAATATCGTCAATGAAGAATTACAGAAAACAATTAATCAGCAAGTGACGTCAGAATTAAAACATATCACAGGGCATTTTGGTGAGCTTAAAGTCTCAATGTATTTTTTTAACTCTAAATTTGAGGAAATGAAAGCCAAAATAGAAGAAAAGAACGCAATAATAATTGCCTTACAAGCAGACAACCAAAAATTAACATCCACTTTACAAGACGTTTGTAATCGTCTAAATTTAGTCGAACAGAACATGAGGGAATCAAACATTGAAATTAATGGTATTACTGAACACAAAGGAGAAAGTTTGATAAATACTACAACGCAGTTATTAAAAGTCATTGGTGATCCAGTTGCTGCGGAAGATATTATTCACGTGACGCGTGTTGCTAAGATAATTAAGGATAAAAATCGCCCTCGCACAACGATAATTAAGCTACGGTCACCGCGCCACCGAGATGCTGTTCTTGCTGCAGTTGCTAAATTTAATAAAAGCAACCAACAAAACAAATTGAGCACAAAACATCTTGGTTTGGGCGGACCCTGCAATCCTGTGTACGTAGCTGAACATTTGTCTCCTCAAAATAAGGCATTACATGCGGCTTCGCGACTAAAGGCAAAGGAATTAAAATACAAGTTCATCTGGATACGCAATGGTAGAATATTTGTAAGAAAAGATGAATTTAGCGAGTCAGTTTTAATTAGAAACTTAGACAATTTAAATTTTATTAAGTAAAGGTTAAGTAAATAACCTTAAGGTTAAATAAATGTTATGGTGCTTAAGTTTCAAAATACGATTTTATGTACTACCAAAACGTCCGGGGTATCCGGACTAAAACTCATGAAGTAGTTAAAAATATCCTTTGCAATGACGACAGAATAATTGTCCTCACGGAAACGTGGTTGAATGATAGTATTTTTGACTCAGAATTTATAGACTCACGGTATGTTGTTTATCGTAGAGATCGGATTTGTTCTAGTAGCACTAAGATGGATGGTGGCGGCGTCATGATAGCTGTTTTACGCGACATACCATCAGTGCGTATTAAAGAGTGGAAAAGCTCATGCGAAGATCTTTGGGTAAACGTTAAAATTCAAGTTAATAGTAAGTCAATTGCCGTTTCGATATGTTCTGTCTATTTATCACCGCCAGCAAATTTAGAGTCTCAACAAACATTTTTGGATGGCGTAGATATAATATTAAATAAAGCAGAAAATGTAATCACTTACTCGGTGATTTCAACTTAAGTTTCATTGATTGGCATCCGGATGCATGTGGCAGTTATATGACGGCGTCAAACTATAATAGAAATATAGGCTATTCATTAATAGATTTTTTGTCATTGCACGGCATGCATCAGATAAATGGTATAAGCAATACCAATAACAAGATTTTAGACCTCGTTATCACAAACATGGAGGGTACTATTGTGTCTGCTAGCACAAGTCCTATTAGTAAACTGGATCCTCATCACCCCAGTTTTGTTTCTTCATTGTCATCTTCATACAATTTAGTATTAAATAACTATTCCGTAAAGAAGCGTAGTGGGTATAACTTTTACAATGCAGATTATATTCAAATTAGATCATTTTTGAAGAAAATTAATTGGTTTTCTGTTTTTAATAATAAAACAATGTAAATAGCATGATATCCGCCTTTTACGATATTATCGAGGAAATTATCTACAAATATGTCCCAAAACGTAAACTTAAATCTTCAAAATATCCAGTTTGGTTCAATAATAAATTAATTAAACTGTTTAGAGAAAAAAAACAAACTTCGTAAGCTTTATGTAAAATACCAAAATCCACGTGATAAATTCGAATTTGAATTATTACGTGAACGGTGCCAAAAATTGTATGACGAAAGTTATAGAATTTATATTAAAACAACAGAAAATGACATTAAGAAGAATCCAAAACGCTTTTAGAGCTATATTAAGAACCACCACCAAACATTATCATCTATACCTGCTTCCAAGAAGATGGATGATAAAATTGCATCAAACAACACAGATATCGCGGAATTATTCGTTTCACATTTTTCTGCCGTTTACTCCACTTGTGACAATGCAAATATTTCCGGAGAACACACATCTAATTTATTGCCTAACCACTTGTAAGTGCCTTGCACTTGAATAGTATAGTATTTAGGGAGACGTCGTAAAAAAATTAAAACTATTCAATAGTCCAGATAACATGCCACCACTTTTCATCAAACGGTGTGGATCTCTCCTTGCATTGCCCTTAAGAATAATTTTCAATTGCTCCTTGACAACTGGAGTATTTCCTGATAAATGGAAAATATCTCGTATAGTTCCAGTTTTTAAGAAGGGTGATCAGTCGGATGTCAAAAACTATAGACCTATTTCTATCCTATCTTGTTTCGCTAAATTATTTGAGTCTCTGGTATATCCTTTTGTATATCAACACGTCAACAATTTATTGTCAGATTTCCAGCATGGTTTTAGAAACGGTCGGTCTGTAGAAAGTAATCTTATTTGTTTTGTGTCAGAAGTAGCAACTGTAGTTGATAAAGGCTCTCAAATAGATGCAATTTATACAGACATGTCTAGCGCGTTTGACAAAGTAAATCATGCAATACTTTTGTCTAAATTAAAGGGGTGTGGTATTGAGGGCGAGTTTTTAAAATGGTTTGGCTCCTATCTGCATAACCGTCCACAGGTTGTGGTCGTTAATGGATCCCAGTCTCACACTTACTATACCAAATCGGGAGTCCCGCAAGGTTCCCATCCAATTTTATTTTTAATATTTGTTAACGACATAGTCACTTACGTTAAACACAGCCAAGTTTCAATTTTTGCTGACGTCTTTAAGATATATGAAACAGTTACTGTTTTATATATTTTATGGTCTACTATGGTCTACTATGTACTATGGTGTAACAATAACAGCATGACTCTTAATACAAGCAAATGTTATCATATTACTTTTACGAAAAAAAGAAAAGTTCTTCCATGTGCCTATCGTTTGAATGGTGTTCTGTTATCTAGAGTTGATGAAATCCGTGACCTGGGAGTAGTAATTGACAGCAAGCTAAAATTTACCGCCCATATTGATAAAATTGTAGGAAAGGCAGCGCGGATGTACAGTTTTATAAACCGAAACACAAAACTGTTTAAAGAAGTAAAAACGAAGATTATCCTCTACAACTGTTTTGTGCTTTCACACCTCGAATTTGCGTCAGTTGTTTGGAATCCAACCTATAGTGCATCTTTTCAGCGTGTTGAAAAAATCCAACGCGTCTTTACAAAACATCTAGCCTATATTTCACAGAACATCTCGCATAGACATCCGTATGATCAGAAACTGAAACATTTTAACATGTGTACTTTACGCAACCGAAGAACTATAGCTGATCTATCTTTTTTGCATAAGGTTATTACAGGAAATATTAAATGTTCAGTACTTCTGGAAAAAGTGAGCCTAGCAGTTCCTTATAAATAACCAAGATCTCGCATTGCTAAACTCTTTAGTGTTCCACATTATCGAACAAATTTAGGACTACATCAACCTCTTTCAAGAATTTTAAGCAAATACAATCACATGTCTGTAGCCGAATGGAATCTGGATATTTTTAATGATTCGTTAAATGTTTTTAAAACGAAATTACGATCTCTTCTGATTTAGAGTTCATATAAATTTAAAATGAATTCTTTTTTCTTACTTGTACTTTTATTGTCTTCTCATACATAATTTACTTAAAATATATAGCTAGTTTTTTATTATTAATTCTTATGTAAAATTTTATTTTTGTTTTACTTTTAGGTACTTAGATCGTAAATGTTGTGTATACCTATAATTGGCGTAAATATAAGAACAAAACCTCTAACTGAAAATATATGTATATTTAATGTAAGTATATGTTATGCTGTTGGTGTACCTTAATAAATAAATAAAATAAATAAATAAATAAATAAATAAATTCATAAATAAATAAATAAATAAACGTACCAAACTTCGTAATAAAAATATTTAAAAAAATAATTACCATGGGCTCTTTAATTTTTTCTAACAGGGAATGTAGATTTCAACATGTTCATTTTTTACATCTTTGCCAGATTTGACTAAGTAAGATATTAAAATGAATAGTAAAGGTAGTAGGACCATGCATCAGTCTTCGCTGTTGCACGAATGGGCAGGTCCGTCCAGATAAGTACCACGACCTCATAAAAGATCGGCGCTTAGTGGAAGTGTTATACTTCTGCGTTTCGTCTGGTGAGTGAAGTAGCCGGGGCCAACTTTATTATGAGGTGTCAACGCATTTGTAACCCTACGGGTATCAGAAATGTCAACGAGCAGTGGTTATCACTTAGTAACCGCGAGTTTGCATGCCGTCTTCTCACATTAAAAAATCATCGCATTGTGGTTCTGGTTCCACTAGATTGTTAGCCTCAGGCTTGTCAACTTATGGCTTTTAGCCTCAAATTTAGGGCGCAAATATACATATAGGGCTTTTTTTAGGGTCCAAAAAAGTTTAGGGCTATGAATAATATTTCATACATCTTTTTGACTACGGAAAATGAGAAATTAAAAGCAAAATGCCTATCATCATCATTTCGGCCTCTTTGAGTCCACAGCTGCACACAGGCCTCCCCCACAGTCTGCCACGAAGTACGATCCTGAGCCACTTGCATCCATCGACTTTTCGCACACTTGCACAGGTTGTCACTCCATCTAGTGTCTGGTCGTCCAATTATGTCGTTTTTTTTGTTAATTATTTCATTTGTAATGACATTCTATTTGTAATGACAAGTTTTTAAAACTAAGTTATATTTATTTAAATACCTTAATGTAACTTTAACATAATTTGAAACTAAACAATACAAGGATATTTGGAGCTTTTGAAAATTGTTCATTTAGGGCTAATTCATCTTAATTTTAGTTTAGGGCCATTTTTTTAAATTAGTTGGCAGCACTAAGTACCCAAACCAAATTGGAGGATTGTGAACCGATACATGACATGACAACAAGTGTCACTAAGACATTAAATTGTCACGTTGTTGTCACTTTTATGTTTGAAGAGAAATGTATTTTGTTAATGAAAGAAAACCTTGTAATTAAGTTTAACTAAAAGAAATGTATTGAAAGTTAATTTACAACAATCTAATTTTTATATGTTAATCTATAACTACAGAAACAATTGTAAGGTGTGAACAAGTTAAATTTCATAGCATCAATGGTGGTTGGCATTGGCATTCACCACTACTTGCCGGTGACGTTGGTCATAGTTGATTGCTGTGGTGACTGCTAGTGTCCGAGATTTTGTTCAACCCCGTAAGTTTTGAAAACATTCCACTAATTTCATTATGACGTATTGCCTTTCATTCTTTTACAAGTGTTGCTAGTCAGGTTCAACTTTATTGACAATTAATAACCAACAGTGGGAAAATTAGAACGAGCACCTGTATTCAATGATCCCATGTTACTACACTGTAGATTGCAATACAGTACATCGCTATAATTTTTCTTAAAAACGATTAGATACAACATTTTATTCAGGTTTTTGTCATAAATAAATCAATTTTTTATTAATGTTTAGAGTATTCTTTTGTATATAAGAGTAGAATAAATCTTTGGTTTCAGTTTCAAAATGCTGAATTTACGAACTGTTTTTTTGGTGGGAGCTGCATTTATTGTGACTTGGGCCTTGTGCATGGCTGAAAGCCAGCCAGTCGCACCATCATCATCTCCATCTCCAACAGCAGAGGTAAGTAAGGTTCTTCCTTTTTTGTGGCTGTTATAGATATTGTGCAATTTAAGGGCTTTAAGCAATTCCATATTGGGTATTATGTTGTTGGTACTTGCCAAAAATCCTTGTAAGGCTCCAAATAAGTAACTATAACTAATAATATCGAATAAAATACCTAATTTTCTAGTGACTTAATTTATTTTTTTAACTCATTGATTGATATTTTTTTTGTTTTCACACCATAAAATTCAATGGCTGTTATTGAGGACTCTAAAAATATGTTATTAATATAAAAGTACTCATTAACAAATGTGTGACTAATCTGATTATTTTCACTCATTGTTCTTAATCTATATCTAATATATTGATGATTAAATCACTGTTACTAATGAAATTATATTTTGAAATTCTGGTAAAGTTCTAAAACAGTGACATATTTCATTCATATATATTTTTAAATGATAATGAGACAAAATATAATTACAAAGTAATATAATCATATGGAAAGTTTATATTCTAATGAAAATGTTATTAAATCTTTTAATTTCACACTACAGAACATCCATTTAAAGTCACCTTTTTACTTTGTTGATGAATACAGTGATAAAGAATGAAATGTGATCGTAGAGAAAACAAACCATAAACATGTCTTATTTAATACGGATTGATTTTTTTATATGAAGTGAGTTAAGTGAAGATTGTTGCCAAAGGACTTCTACAACACTTGAGGGCTTGTAGATGATTTTTAAAAACTGGGCACTGGCTCATTCATGAAATGCAGAAATATAACACCTCCACCTCACGCCAGTCTTCTCAGGAGATAGTTCCCCTGTGGAAAACTTTCAGTGCCAACACTAAAACTATTCATCAATAACTACACTATATTGAAATACTATGGCAAATTTTTGTTCATGGTGATATTCTAAAGAGAGGTTTTTGTATTATGATGATATTGTGAAATAAAATTATTTTGTAGACTTTAATGTTTCAAAGGTTTAATACTTATTATGAAACTGACTGAGATGTAAGACTATCTAATGGCATTGTTATATTGATGAAGCTTAAAAGATGAGAACCACTGGTAAATTAAAGAAAGTTTTAATTTAGTAAGTTTTTATTTAGTAATAGAATAAAGCGTGTTATGTTTATATGATGTTGTAATGTAATACATATTTTATTAGTATTTTCTCATATATAACATAAATTATATAATTCATTGCTTGTTACCATAGAATGTAAGGCAATTAAATATATTAATGGATACTCAATAAAACATGTTATAAAAACACACAAATCATTGCCAATAACAATAGAGAAGTTATAAGGTTCATTATCCATAACCTTTACATACTATTGAACTTTGGTTTAGTCTCAGGAAATAGTGGAAATCTATTTAGGGTGGTGTAATGGTTTGTATAAATTAAGTATGTACTTCTATTCTTTATTATATTAAGTACCCGGAAGACCTAGCTTTGCTCGGTTTTTTTTTTTTGGTAAATCGTGTATTTTGGAAATTACATTTAGATACAAATTATTGAGTAATGAAATATGCATAATATTTTTCGATCTTACCGACGTAATAATAAGAAAATATGAACTGATGTTTTTTCACAAAAGAAAGAACTTTAAAAAAAAAGGGAAAAAAAATAACAAAATAACAAATCAACAAAAAAATTAAAAATAAAGAAAGCAATGATCTGGAATCGAAAAAAAAGTAAAAAAATAAATGTGTAAATGATCGTGACGCGAACCACGGCCGTCTGTTTTGGGGCTGCCCGATTACCGACTGAGCTATTTTGACATTTTCTCTTGCGGCGAAATTTACCGTCATATTCGAATTATATTTTTCATTCCCTGAAAACAGGGATAAAAGGACATTTTCTAAAAATGAAACCTAGCTAGATCGATTTTTCGCCCCCAAATCTATGCACATACTAAATTTCATGAAAATCGCTGGAGCCGTTTCCGAGATTCCGATTATATATATATATATATATATATATATATATATATATATATATATATATATATATATATACAAGAATTGTTCGTTTAAAGGATAAGAGATAATGACAAATCTATGAAAAAAATCGGAATTACTATAATGAGCAACAACAAATCATTTTTTTTAACAATATAAGAATGCAAGCTTATAATTTTGGTAATTTATTCTGTTTGGAAAGTATGCTTAACATCTGCATATATTAATTCTCAAAGGTATTTTTTTTTCTGAACTTAAATAGACAACTTACATAATTCTTCATCAACTTATTCGATTCAAATACCATTTTAAAGCTTATATTTGCCGCTATTAACGACACATAGACAAGTAGAATAAAGTTAATACTTTAATAAAAAATTCGCTTAAAAACTCTTCAAAGGAATGTACGACAATGCCATCTACTGACAAATTTGTTTAAATGAAGGATATTAAAGTACACTGTTCTTCAAAATATAATAACTTTCATTGACAAATACATATTTACACAATATTATGTTATTATTTGGTCACTGACAATGATACTTTTAGCGAAAATTTTGCATGGGTCAACTAGATTGTGCTTATTTCCCAAGCCATCTACCGGCGTTAAATGATTAATTTAGCACGTACCTACTAGATGGCGCTGTTATGTTTCAAATAATAAACTTTAAAATATCATGACATTAGGTAATTAATATGCCGATATAAGCGTGCCCATTGATTAAATGACAAAAGGTTGCAAGACTCTACCCCAGAATCGTATATACTTTTGATAAGCATAAGATTCATCGTACTGTGGACGTGTTGCACGAATGAGCAGGTCCGTCCGGGTAAGTAACACGACCTCACAGAAGGCCGGCGTAAAGTAGAAGTGTTACACTTCTGCGTTTCGTCTGGTGAGTTTGCCAGTTTCTCACATAAAAGACATAAATCGCGGTAGGTTAACTTTCACTGATATGACCGAAACACATTTTACCGCCATGGGGCGCCCACGTCCCAACATTCGGTTGGGCCAATATCGTAGATACATAATTTATTTTAAGAGAATCATACAGCGATTTTGTGACAAAAAATTTAGCAAAATTTCGATCAAATAAAATGGGTAACTTTTGCATTGCAAACATATGAAATGCAATGAATTATAATATATATCGAAATTATCAGAATGTATCAGAGGTATGTATGACACAAGAAATATTGCTTAGACCAGCCTTCGTTACTGGCAAATAAATTATTTATCTATACTATTATATAAAGAGGAAAGATTTGATTGTTTGTATGTATTGAATAGGCTCCGAAACTACTGAACCGATTTAAAAAATTCTTTCACTGTTGAGAAGCTACATTATCCCTGCTTGATATAGGCTATATTATGTTTTCAAAAACATTAGAGATCCATACTAAAACTCCAATAATGTTAATCAAGGTGTATAAAAATTACCTAGAATATTCTTTAAATCGCGTGCGCTGCGAAAACTATTGATGATAGAATAAAATAATGTACTACGACTTTGCAGAACACATTGTTATTTACAAAAAGTGTCGCGACAGCATATATCTAACTATTATAGTTATGCCACAATAAGTGTTCTTTTATTTTAAAATTTTGATTGAAATGCCGCCGCTAGAAAAGGCTCTTTATTTGTATCTTGGTATTAATCCTTATAAAAATAAATTACTTCTTATTTAAGACTGTTTCAATATCTTTATATAACTTTTTGAATTATCAAATTCGGACATACCATTCGAAAGATATCACAAGTTTAAAAATGTTAGTATATTGTTAATTGTTAAACTTATTTAACTATCCAAACAGCTTAGTTACTGACTTAGTACTTCTTATAATTCTGGTAATTCCTGTTCAAAATCATTTTAAAATGCCCAAAGATCAAGATCTCATCTTTCTAGAAAAAGTTCCCAAGCGAGTATACTTTGTTTGACGCGAACTTTTAAAATAGAGGGACAAGTATACAAGTCATCATCATCTTCCTGCCCCTATCCCACCTAGGTGGGGTCGGAACAACATGAATCATGTTGAACGCGGTTTTGGACATATTTTTACAACCAGCCGCCTGTTTGACGTTAAACCTCCTTGGGAAACAAACAACCAGTTCAAATTTCAACTGTGTAACTATCACGGTTCATGAGATACAGCCTGTTGACAGAGGGACAAAAAGACAGCGGAGTCTTAGTAATAGGGTCCCATTTTACCCTTTGGGTACCGAACCATAAAATGGCCCCAGAGATATAGTGCTGCACGGTAGACACAGCCAACTTAAAAGGTTAGACCGATAGAGTTACAGATAATGGGAGAAGACGGTTATTATTTGACTATTCCTCAGCAAGGTACAGTGCGTAACAAAACTTTGACATGCATGCAATTTTATGCATTTAGGTTGATGGTTAGAGCTACCTGTTTTAAGCCATTGCATTATTACTGGGACTTATTAGAGTTCCGTATCCAAAGGGTAAAACGGCACCCTATTACTAAGACTCCGCTGTCCGTCTGTATGTCCGTATGTCTGTCCATATGTCCCCAGGTTGTATCTCATGAATCGTGATATTTAGTTGAAATTTTCACAAACGATGTATTTCTGTTGCCGCTATAACAACAAATACTGAAAAACAAAAAAATATAAATAAGTGGGGTTCCCATAAAACAGACATGATTTTTTTGCCGTTTTTATAGATAATGTTGACAGTAGTAGTGTTTTTGACAATATGTAAGTGTAAACTTCCATATTGAATAAAGATATTAAAACATGATTTTTTTTAATGGTGATAGAGTGATAGAGTGGCAAACGAGCTGGCGGTTCACCTGATGTTAAGTAATCTTCTTCTTTTCGTGTCGATGACAATACGTATTTACACGTTATCGGCCCAAAATTCAGCCACATGAATTGCATTGTCAGTGGCATTCATCAGGTCCTCCTGCGTGCAATTGGTTGGTCACGCAGGGCACGACGTCAAATGTTCCATGTTTTGGGGAACAGCACCACATTTGCACTCCAAGCTGGAACCGTCTCAGAATCCCCAC